GAGGACCTCGATAATTTCATAATTAGGAGGCCTAATGGCTCCAGCTCTGGATGCCAAATGACTTAACCCTTTGCCTGCTGGGCGCTTAACCCCCAGCCCAAGGCTGCTGGAGGGGCCTGCAGTGCCCCCTTTGCTCCGGTTCCCCTCCCTAATGCCCAATCATGTTTATCTCTGCCACCCCAGTGCCCAGCCCCCGTGCTGGCCCAGAGGGGGTGTAAAAGTAAGGTTTAAAGAGTGAATGAATGAAGAAATGAATGAACGAATGAATGAACAAACAGGTACCTGAATGGGGAAAGAGTCTCAGCCCCTGCTGCAGGTGCTCAGGGGAGGAATGAGTCTCCATCTGCATGAGTAGGTGTGTGTCTGTGTGCACGCCTGTGTGTGCAAGTGCGAACATGAGGGCACCACACATGCACGCACACACGCACACACACGAGGGTCTGTGGTGTCTGCTTCTAAGAGACTTGCATGAGTCTGCATCCACGCTCACATCTGTGATACTCATTCTGCGGCCTCCTGTCTGGACAGAGGGTACTCTGCGGGGGGACCCCAAGTGCCTCCCTTGATGCCAGCACCCCCGACACCATGTGGATAACGGTGGCTCCAGAATTTCTATAGGTGGCACTTGGTGGGGGAGGGGGCAACAGGGCCTACAGAGTTTGCCAAGAATCTGCATTAGTCAAGCAAGGGCACTGCTTTTTAGATGGAATGTTTCTTTGGGAGGCTGGGCGACTGAGCCTCTAGCACAGGGGGAGCTGGTTTTGACAGCTGTCCCCTGCCTTTCCCAGCCTGCTCTCCCTCCTCCCCACCTAGCCCTAGTCCTGAAGAGGTGACAGCTGAGGTGGAGGCGGGGGAGCCCTGGGCTCCAGGCCGGCTTCCCCAGTCTGGGACAACTGGTTCTGAGGCTCCATATCCCTGCTGGACTCCCCTAATTGTGGAGCAGGTGAGTGGGCTGAGGGGAGAATGAAAAACTGGGAGAAGAGTTGAAGAGAGACAATAAAGGAATAGGAAGAGAGCTGAGGGAAAGAGGAGAAGGGGAGGAGAAAGGATGGGAAGTCCCAAGAAGGTGAGAGAGAGGAGGAGAGAGACGGGAGTTGGGGGCATGTTGGAGGGTTGCTCTCTCTCTCTCTTTTTAAGATTTATTTATTTTAGGGGGGGGGGGGGGGGGGGGCGGAGAGGCAAGAAGGCCCAGAGCATTATCAGCACTTAAAAAGCAGCAGCTCAGTTCTTTGGCACAAATAATGGCTTTTTATGAATAAATCATGTGTCAGACGCCTCCCTGGGAGTGGGCATAGAGGGGGGCGCGTCTGCTGGGCTCCAAGGCTGGCAGGGAAGGGCCAGTTGCAGACCCCCAGCTGCAGGGGTATTGCCCCCTTTCTCCTGATGGGGTCCAGCAAGACAGAGGCCGTCTCCGGCCTGAGCCTGGCAGAGCTCTTTAGTCTGAGGTGGTCTTGCTGCTCCCTGCTCATGAGCCTGGCCTGATCCCAGGGTTGGGAGTGGCCCTTTGCTCCTCTCTCTTCTCCCCCCCCTCTGCAGAGCAGCCCAGAAGACGCTCCTGGTGGGGGGAACACCAGCTCTGGTGCACCCAGAGAGAGGTATGCGCCAAGACAGCAGACACACCCAGAGAGGAAAGCATGCAGTGCACACAACTCACACCAGCAGACTCCACAGCCCCGGGCGCACGTGTGGGCACACTCGGAGACGGAGATGCTGTTATTCCCAACACACACACACACACGCTCTCTCAGGCATGCGCACAGACAGGGAGACCCCAACCATCATCCAGCCTGCCCCCCCTCCCAGCGCTCACGCACACGGGCCCACACAGACAGATGCATATGGGGCTACATGGACACACACAGACCTGCACACGCATACCAGCAGCCCACCCTCCATCAGCTTAGGGTGGGGGCAGCTTTGCAGCCCATATGGAGGCCAGACCCAGCTGGGCTGCCCTGGAGTCTGGTTGTGGGGTGGGGCTGGGGCATCTGTTCCAGGGGATAGTCCATCAGCTTCTATATGCTCCCCACCCAGTGAGGACAGCTACCACACCCCACAGTGAGGTCTTGCCTCCCAGCCCTTAGCCCAGAACCTGTGTAAGTCCTGCTGGCTCCGAGCTCTTTTGCTGCCCTGCTCACAGCCACCTCCTCAGAGGCAGTGGGGGCCATGGGAAAACCTGGGCATTGGCGGTACACACAGTCTGGGCAAGAACCTCGGCTCTGTCCCTTGCCAGAAGTGTGACCTCAGAGAATAATTCCAATCTTGTTCACTCCTCAAAACAGATCTGAGACAGGTGCTACTGACCCAGCTTCCAGACCAGGAAAGTGAGGCTCCAAAAGGTAAAGGCACTAGGCGTTATTTCCAGAACCATGCTCTTTTCACATACTCAGTGTTTGGGGTTTTCCTCCTCCTCTCCCTTCGGCTGCTCCTTCTCAGCCAGTGGGTTCCTCTTCCTGTGCCAACATGTTCTTAGGTGTTCACTGAAGCAGACCTGGGTCGCCCTGCTCTTCCCACTCAGCACCATCCCCTGAGTCACTCCTAACACCTCCATGACAACCTCTGTGCTCCTGATTCTTCAACTTCCCTCTCCAGGGTTTCTGACTCCATGATCCAGCTGGACATCTCCAGGCCACCATGCTGTCCAGTGCCAGGGACTGCCATTCACACAGTAGATAGACTGCTGAACATCCTTCCAAAATCCCAAGGGTTCCATGCACCCTAACTGAAAGGAGCCTGTCTGTGGCTAAGTGTACCATCTTTCCCAGGGCTCCTCCCACCTCGATGCTCTCCTCAGAGAATGGCCTCGCCCGTCCAGGTGCCCAACCAGAAACCAGGCATCACTTGATTCTTCCCTGTCCTTCACCCCCTGTATCCAATCCAAAACCAGTCCCAGTGATTCTATGTCCAAAATATATTGGGAATTCATCCTTTCCCCTCCTGCCCCACTGCCCTCCCCATGTCACCATTGACACCTCTGGCCTGGCCACTGACAGGAGAGGTCCCCCTTCTGGCCCATTTGCCTCCCCATCATCAGTAATCTCTCCATCTCTTTGCTTTGGCCACACTAAACTGCTTTTGGTTCTGGAACCCACATGATCTCGAATCCGGGCCTCTCAATATGCCGTTCCCTCCCTGTTTGAATCCCTCTCCTTCCCAGTGCCAACTCACCCTTCAAGGTTCAGCTGAGACAGCACCCCCTCCGGATGCCTTCCCTGACTCCTCGAGCCTGGGATTGGTGTGGCATGTCATTCATTCCCACAGCAGCCTGTCTCCTCCTTTAATTACAGCTCTGATCGATAATCGCCTGTTTACTCACCTGTGTCCCCCTTGAGCCTCTAAGTTCCTTGAGGGCGGAGATTGTGCCTCTGATGCTCTCTCTGGCAGCCCCAATGCTTGGTACAAGACCTTGGCACTTAAAGGTGCTCACTAAATCTTCCATGGATGAATTAATGAATGAGTGCTGGGCTGAGCACTTTATACACCTTTTCTCATTTACTCCTCAGCAGAAATCCATGCAACGGGTGCTACTATCCTATGGTCTAGACCAGGAAAGTAAGACGTTGAAAACTTGCCCATGGGCACAGAACTAGCAAAAGGCAGGGAATGGATTCAAAGAGAAGTCTGTGTGCCTTCAAAGGCCTCCCTTCCATTAACCCACCCTGTCTTTCCAAGCCATTTTCCCTTTCTGACCCTGTTTTCTCATCTGCACAATGGGAACGAAAATCATACCTAATGCAGGACCTGACACTAACAGGTTCTCAGTGAATATCTGTGCCTTCTCTCCCAACCTCTGAGGCTTATGTATTCAGGACAGAATTTCCCCCAAACTAGAAACTTCCTGCCTGCATATGTTCACAGAAACAGGTGCAGAGTTCCACACCAGGACATCGCCAGCGTCCAGAACTCAGTAGGCGCTTAATCAATGTGTGTTGAGCAGACAGGCATCAGGGAATGCTGACATATACTCAGACACAAAGCCACAAGAGGGGCTCAGGCACAGGGACCCCCCACCATCCCTGCCGATATTCCTCCTTTGCCACCACCAACCCTGCTAGCCCAAGGCGCGGGAAATATTTAAAACAATTTTATTCATGAAAATATGCTGTACAATGCACTCTACACGGCCTCGACACGGCACACACGCACACGCACACGCTGACAGCACGGCCACGGTACACTGCCTACGATATGCGCCGGGGACGCCGCGCCCACAGCCCGCCCCGACCGGACACTTATAAATACGGGAGAAGAGGCAGGACTGGAACGGAGAAAGGGGTGTCGGTTTGGGAGTGGATCCGGAGCTGAGGCCTGCTGGAGAGGCTGAGACCATTACTGGAGGGTGGGGGTGGGAAGGGGGATTGACTCCAACCTGAGAGGAAAGGAGAAGAGAAGGTAGGGCCTGCAAGGAGAGGAGGGAGGGGCTGAACCATGGGAATGGGGGCTCTAAGCAGGGGTTCAGGGCTGAAGGAAAACAGCTCAGGGCGAACAGCCAACAGGTAGGTGTGAGTGCTTCCGGGAGGCGTTCCTGGCTTGGGGTGGGTGAGGCTAAGACCAGTGGGAAGGTGTCAGTTGGGTATCAGATCCGGAGTTTGGGGTGGGTGATCCGTCGCGGCGAGGGCCCCTGCAAATGAAACTTGAAGATTCGGAGACGCCCTCAGCCCCGTGCCTCACCTCCTGGTTGGTATCCCAGACCGGCGCAGCCCACCTGGCTCGTCCCCACTCCCACCCAGCCTGAAATTCCGCTCCGCCCAGGCCTCCTGCCCCGGGGGGAGAGAGGAGGAGCGGGTCGCAGGAGTTTGGGCAGGAATGGCAGGTGCCCCAGCCCCTCCCTACCACTTCCGTCAGCGGTCAGCTTCTGAGGGACGTCTCTAGCAGGCCTGGGGCTGCCTCCCGGATCCTCCCGTGGAGCTGGAATCGGGGATGGGGCCCAGGGGATCAGGACGGGAAGACAGAAGCCCCTTGGGGGCGGGGCGGGGCACCCGGGGCGCGGGAGGCGGCCCTCAGCCCGGCACCCAGCTCTGGTTGGGGGGCGGGGCCCCGGCCAGGCCGGGCGGCGGCGGAGGCAGGGCCGAGTCGAAGTTGAAGTCCATTTCGTCGCTGTCCATGAAGTCGTTGAGGATGATGGACTCGACGTCGCATTCGAGGCTCCCGCTGAACATGTCGAGGTCCAAGTCGGCCGGGAAGCGGTCGGGCGCGGTCCCCAGCGGCCCGGCGGCGGCCGCCGCGTATGGTCCCGGCAGCGCGTCCAGCAGGAGGCCACCGGGCGGGGCCCCGAAGGCGGCCGCGTGGCTCGGCGGCGCCAGGCCCGCGGCGCCCGCCTCGCCGGGCAGCGTCATAAGGCTGATGGGGTGGGCTAAGGCACTGCGCGAGGGCACCGGCGGCGCGTACGGGGCCGCGCCCTTGCCGGGGTAGGCGGCGGTCGCGCCCGCCAGCGCCAGCTCCCCGGACGCGCCCAGCACCGGGCCGGGCCTGGGCGCGGGCGGCGGCGGCAGCAGCGCGGGCAGCGCCCCCGGGCGGAAGGGCGCGGCGGCGGGCGCGAAGCTGGCCTGCTTGTTCTCCTGGATGGTCTGCATGGGCAGGCGGCGCAGCGCGCCCAGCGCCGGCGGCCCGAAGCCCCCGCCCCCGCCCCCGCCGTAGGCGCCGCTCTTGCAGCCGCCAAAATAGGCGGGCGTCCCGGCCCGGGCCCGCGGCCCGTACGCGTCCTGCGCGCCGTCCAGCAGGGCCTCGGGCAGCCCCGCGCCGCCGCCGTGCAGGCCCAGCGGGCCCCCCAGCTCGGCCAGGCGGGGTAGCTCCCCCGGGCAGCGCGCTCCTAGCGCGGGCGACAGCGCGCTCGCCGGGCTCGGGTACATGAGCGGCGACGACGGTGCCAGGGCCTCCAGGGCCTCGTCGTCCTCCAATTCGGCCGCCTCCCCGAGCAGGGGTCTCCCGCCGCCGCGGAAGTCGGCCCACGCCTCGTAGTCGTCGCTGGCGTGCGAGGCCGGGCTGGTGGCCCACTTGGCTGCGGCAGGCACAGGCCCCGGGGCTGGCGCGCCCGGGGGACTGTCATCGGGGCTTCGCTCAGGTGCCTGCAGCTGCTTCTTCTTGCTCGCCTTGCCCTTGATGCGCAGGAACTTGGCCCCGTTGTCCATGGACACGGCCCGCCGCCGAGGGGTCTTGCCCGTCTTTCCGCCCTCAGGGTTCAGCATCCACCAGGAGCTCTTGCCAGTGCCCTCGTTCTGCACGCGGATGAAACGGGTGTGCAGCGACAGGTTGTGCCGGATGGAGTTCTGTGGCCAGAGACAAGGACATGGGTGGGGGAGCGGGAAGCGAGGAGGCCATGAGAAAAGAGAAAGAAGTGATGGAAAGAGGAGGCGGAGAAAACAGAGAAAAAAGTGAGAGAAGAGGAAGGACAAGGGCCAGAAGGGGCAATGGGAGGAAACAGAAATGATGAAGGGTGAATGGGGTAAAGGGGGAGAACAGGTGTAAGTACTAGGTTGGACAGGAATGCCCACCTTATACCCCAGAACCGCACCCCCCTCCCCCCGCAACGCACACCTCCCAGAGGGTGGGGCTAGAGCTTTGGGCCAGGCCTCTCCCCAGGAGGCAAGGCAGAAGCCTGAGGGCTACTCTTAAGGAACTGCAGCAGGGCCCCCTCTCCCCCAGCTCAGCCAAGCCCCGCCTGGGGCTAGCCAGGCTGCCAGAGCCCCCCAGCAGATTATGTAAGGGCTCATGCCGCCGCGGCTCATTTGTCTGCCCCCTCCCTCCCCAGCCTGGCATGGCGCCAGGAGCCCGAAAACCCAGGGCTCCAGAAATCAATCTCGCGGTGACTGATTAAGCCCTGTTTAGAACTAATTGCTCTTTCGTGTGTGGGGAGAATAAATTACCTGCTTTAATTTCGTGTCTTTAAAATGCAACTGCAGGTAGAGAAGACTGTTAACCCTTTGCTGGGAGGGCCTGGCCAGGGAAAGCAGAAAAGGCTGGGGGTCCCTAAGGTGGGTAGAGGCCCGAAACTCCTCTGAAATTTCCCCCAACTCTTGTGAGCTCCTGTGAACTGTAGAAGCCTAGATTCCCAGCAAGGCCCTCAAAGCACATCCATCAGCCATGGGGACCTCAGACCCCACCTTTGCTCAGCGCCCACCTTCAGGCCAGCCCAGCTCTCCAGCCTGCCCTCCCTTCCTGACCACCTGAAGCAGAGGAGCTCTGCCCTCAAAGCCCCATTCTGGTAGAAGCTTCACAAAGTCCCCACAAACGGGGGGACACTAAATGTAATCCCCATTTACAACAAGAATACCAAGGCTCAGAGAGGTCAAGTGGCTTGCCCAGGGCTACACAGCCCCTTCTGCTGTCGCTCGGTACCTCCCTGGGCTCCACCTCTGCCACCCCTGCACACACTCTCTTCTAAATTTCTGCTGTGCCAGTCTCTAGCGCTCCCCATGTCACAGCCCGCTTTTGCCAGGAAGGCGGTGGGGGGGGTGGGGGAGAGTGCCACAGCTCCAACAGCCTGGCTCCCCACAGGCACCTGAAGGAGGAAGATTTATGCTGCCCTGCCCCACCTCTGGGGCCCGCCACCTGGTGGCCTTGACCTCCCCCCTCACGCACTGCTGTGGAAAGACCATGGGCTTGGCTATCAGAAGGGCTAGGCAAGATGGGCAGGATCCTGGCTCTCTGGCTCTTTTCAGCCACCCAGGTATGTGACCATGGCTCTTGACTCGATCTCCGTGAGCCTCAGTTGCCTCAGTGAACGACTTGGACCAAAATGGGCACCATTCAGTAACCACCTCAGAAAGCTGTTAGATCCCTACCTGAGGTAATGTGTGTGGGTATGTGTTTGGTGAATGCACCGGGTGCTCATAAACACTGGTTAAAGGCCTCACTCTGGCCAGAAGACCACACTTTGAGATCATCCAACAGACCTGCTCTGTCTCTACCTCCTTAATATCCTGTCCTGAGTATAAGTGTGCTAGGCACCAACAAGTCTGGGAAGCTGGCATTACCCCGTCTCACTGACGAGGGAACGGAGGCCCAGAGGCATGATGTAATTTGCCCAGGGTCCCACAGGCAGCAATGCCAGATAGCACTCCAGATCTAACCCAGCTCATGGACCTACTCCTAACCTATTTGTCCGCCCAGCCCCATAACCACTGACCAGTGAGGGCCCCTCCCTCCTGCCTCCTTCCCACCGGTCTCCAGGAGGAGGGCTCTTTCCTGCTGCCCCACTCCCACTCCCAGCTCCAGGTACTACCCTGACTCTCCGGGCACCCCGCCCCCTCCCTATCGCTGGCACTTTCTGGTCCTGGGAGGTGACAGCTCCAAGACCCCTCCCAGCGTTGCCCTGCCTGGCTTCTCCTGGGATCCTGTGAAGAGCGGAGCTAGACCCCCAGGGAGTGGTGCTCCCTCCAGTAGATACCCCCGTCCCACCCCTGCCCTTGCACCTGGCTCCCTAGCCCCTCCAGCACACCTGTATTCAGAGGTCTCAGGGGCTCTGTTCTCCCCAGGGGACTGTCTGGCTTCACAGAGGCTCCGCCTCCCAGCTTCTCCCCAATCAGAGGTTGGTCAGGCAACACCTCTTTATCAGTGTCACTATGTGCCAGCCTGTGGCTGAGTGCTGGGGGGAGGGGGGAGGAGGGAGGAGAAAGGACATCTCCAAGTGCCAGCACCCACTCAGTACCTGCTTGTTCAGCCCCAGGTGTTGTAAGTACTTGATCTCACATAGTCTATCAAACTCCATACAACGCGGGGATTGTGATCCCTAGCTCCAGATGAGGAGAGTGAGGCTCAGAGAGGTTCAATAAGCTCCAGTCCCACAGGGCGGATGGTAGAGCCAGGTACTGATTTCAGGTTACTCACGCCCTGAGTCTAAAGGGCATCACATTCCACCACGGCGGAGAGAAACGAGTCAGGGAATTTCCAAAGAATCTCAGGAAGCCAGGACTCTAGAGCTTCTCAAACTTTCCATGTAAACTATCCCCAGAAGCTGGCAGCATGGGAAGACTGGGGGCATGTCGCGAGGTCAAAATTTCCTATTAAGTCTTGTGCTTCATTTTTAGCATTCAGGGAGATTTTTGCATTGTACTTCATAAGGCATCTAAGTTTTCTGAATATAAAAAAAATGTTGTCGATTACCAAGAGCACCTGCTCTGGGCCTATGAAGGTTTGCACTCTTCCCCCACTGTTCCCTGCCTGGCCAGGTACCCCAGGGAGCTGGAGCCCCAGCCTGAAACCACGGCTGGTCGAACCCAGAGAGAAGAAAGGACTTGCCCAAGGTCACCCAGGACCTGGTAGGAGAGCAGGGGTTCAAGCGCAGGTCTCCTGACCCCTGGCTTGGTGCTCTTCTCACCCCACCAAGCCTCACCTGGGCCAGCCTGTCCGTCTCTCTCTGGGCCTGTTTCCCCGCCTGGATACTGATGATGTGCCAACTGTACTCTGTGACCTTTTCAATTTGACACTGCAAGCTCTTGAACTCATCCAGTCCACAGGTTTTCAAACTTTTTTAAAAAAGATTTTTATTTATTTATTTGAGAGAGACAGAGAGAGAGAGAGGGAGAGAGCACCAGCAGGGGGGAGGGGCAGGGGGAGAGGGATGAGCAGGGAGCCGGATGATGCGGGGCTTGATCCCAGCACCCTGGGATCATGACCTGAGCCAAAGGCAGACGCTTCACTGACTGAGCCACCCAGATGTCCCAAACTTTTTTTTTTTTTTTTAAGTAGTGAAACTCTGTTCGCAAATGGAACCTAATGCAAAACGGAGTGTTACACCCTCAAGCCATCAGGGAGCGGGGGCAGGGTGCCTGGAGCTGGGCTGGCTCAGCACCCCTGGTACTCTTGTAGAAAACCTGGCCCGGGTGGAGGGATGGTGCAGGCCAGATTGATGGGGCTGTGGAGGTCCAGAGGGCTGTCATACCTTGCCCAGGGTCACCCGGGGAGGGAGCCCAGAGCTGGCTAAGGACAACCTAGGCCTCTGCCTGTGGAGCCAGGCTGGGCACCAGGTGTGCACCAAGGCTGTGGCCCCTGAGGGAAGTCCAGGCCCTGAAGCCCAGTCTGGCTCCTCGGGGCCCAGCCACCTGGTACCAATCAGAGCTCCCAGCCAAGATCCAGTGGCAAACGCAGATCACAACTCCCCCACAAGGCCTCCCGGGAGGCCAGAGGCCACAGAGGAGGTGAGAGAGGCAGAGGAGGGAGCTGCCTCTGCCACGCAGCAGTAACCAGGGTTCCCTCTTAGAGTCACCTAGCAACCCGCCACCACAGCCACAGCCCTGGCATGCCCAGGCTCCCCAGTGCCCAGAGCTGGGCCCGGCTTCTGGGGCCTCACGCCTCCCACACCTCCACACAGGCCTGGGGCAGGTTAACAGGGGGGGTCGGACCACCCTGACTCGGGAGGCAGGCCATCCCAGGGCTACATCCACGCCCATCCCCCTCTCCCTTGGAACCTGGGCTAGGGAGGCTGGGCGACCTCCCCGCCTCGGGGCCTCACCCACCTGGGAGAGGAGGCTGGTGCAGTTGAAAGCGCATGGGCTCTGGTGTTGGATCTGGATTCCAGTTTTGGCTCCAATACCCCATGAGTAGTGCAACTCTGGGGCAAGATGCTTTGAACCTCTATTTCCTCAAACAGCTACCTGCTTCCGCCCTTGCTTCCCTACAGCCTTCTACCACCCAGCAGTCAGAGTGGCCCTTTAAATGCGTGGATCACAGCCAGTCCTGCCTAGAACCCTGAGATGCCCCCCATCTAAGAGTAAAAACAAAGGCCTTGCCATAACCCACAAGCCCCTCCATGACCTCTCAGACCCCTCTCCTAACACTGTCCTGCTCGATTCCTCTCTCCTGTTCCTTGAACCTGCTAGGTACGGTCCTGCCCTGGGGCCTCTGGCTCAGGGGAAAGCTGTTCACCCAGATACCCCCATCAATCTCTCATCTCTTCCGAGTCCACACGCAGATAGAATCTTTTGCAACGAGGCCCATCCTGACCACTCTAACCCTTTGCTCCACCTCCCTGCCATTTCTTGGCCCCCTTACCTGCTCTCAATTTTTCTAAAGCAAGGATCACTTTCTTAATTAATAGATAGTTTGCACACATACATTAATAAGTTAATATGTAAGTTATATATAAATATATAATTCATTTATATTCTGTATTTATTATTTATTGTCTGCTTTCCCTCACATTAGAATATAAGTTTCATGAGGGATTTTTGTCCATTTTTGACCGTACCCCATGTGTTTGATGCATACCAGACATTTAATGAATGTTCATTGAATGAAGGAATGAGAGAGAGAGAGTAAAGGGGGGGTA